AAAAATCTCACAGATATCAATCGCTTGCGTGGTGCATTGGATAGAGCGTCTGCCCTGATATTATGAGAGCGGAAGGTCGGTAGTTCGAACGCGACGTCAAACCCCATTTCACCTCACCTCAAAGAAAGCGGTCTTCCCCCAACGTTACTAACTCAGTGATTTTACTCCTCATCGGTATATAATGTTCAAAATCAAATGCAGTGAGACCCGTGGAGATCCGGGTCAGAAAGGTCTTCATCAACTCGTTTTTTTTTTTTGTTTAACGCCGCACTCATCAATATTCCAGCTATATGACGGCGGTCTGTAAATAATCCAGTCTGGACCAGACAATCCAGTGATTGATATCATGAGCATCGATTCACGCAAGTGGGATCGATGACATGCATCAACCAAGTCAGCGAGCCTGACCACCCGATCCCCTTAGTCGCCTTTTACGACAAGCATAGTCACCTTTTACGGCAAGCATGGGTTGCTGAAGACCTATTCTACCCTGTATCTTCACGGGTCTCATCAACTCGTAAGAGGCGACTATTCTTGTCGTAAGCTGTATTAAGATAATAATTTATTGAGATACGATAATGACGAAATAAATAACACATTTGAGTCATCATGCACATAGATTCGACTTAATGTTTCTGAGTAAGCGTGGGGCACGGGTGGCCCAGTATCTAAGGCGCCGTAATTCGCTGTGCAGAGTTGCGTCGCTTGGGCGCACCAGAAACCTATGTTTGTGGGCTCGAATCCCGGTTCACTCCGATAATGTTTCAAGGTTTGTCAGCACCATACCCGTGCTCGTGGGTTTCACCGAAGTGGTAAACGTTTGAGACCTGCATCACTTCGGGCTTTCCTCCCACAATAAGGTGACACGCCGCGATGTAACAGGAATACTGTTAAAAGCGGCGTTAAAAACTCAACTCACTCACTCTGAGTAAGCGCATAGATATCCACAGTATAATCTTTCAAGTCACTAAGTTTAATTAGAAGGCCTACAGATTCCAAGAATTGGATGGGTGTATTTAGTTTCTGGATCAGTTGTTCCTTCATCCGACACAGACGAATCTCTGCCTCACGATACACTCGTTTTCGTCTTCTGCTCAATGTATCATTTCCTCTGTACAATGAGGGGCGGTCGGGTAGCCTAGTGGTTAAAGCGTTCGCTCGTCACGCCGAAGACCCGGATTCGATTCCCGACATGGGTACAATGTGTGAAGCCTATTTCTGGTGTCCCCCGCCGTGATATTCCTGGAATATTGCTAAAAGCGGCGTAAAACCATACTCACTCACTCTCTCTGTACAATGAATGGTGATTGTCATATATATTTAGCTTGAACATCTTTCATCACATCCAACAGATAATAGCCTCGGTTTATTCGTTCTCATTTCATCTGTACTCTCGTGGGTTAATTAGCTTTATCCTTCATTGGACTGTTCTGCTGTTACAAAACATAAATACCCTTTGTTGTTTTAACTAAGCGTAGGGGTATTGAGCTGTCGGGCTTTTGACATGTAGTTTTCTTTTGACAATCCATATTCACGATTATTTCCTAAAAAAAACATAGATCTGGGGGAATAACTCTAAGTTTGTTTTTTGTCGTCTGCTATAAATGCCGAACTATGGTATTCTTGCCGATTTGGACCAAAACACATACCTGCAGTATTAGTGCAGCCGTTACGTGACAGATATAGGGTAAATAGTGCACTTGTGCTTAAAGCATGAAACAACCTACAGTTGTAGGTAATGACATTCCAAATATTTTCAGATATAGCGCCATCCCAAAAAATCCAATATGGAGGAATACAATTCTAGTATGTGAGAACATGACCCAGAACCTAAATATATATTGAAAAATGAACATTTTGGAATGTATTTACTCAACATTACATCTGTAAAGTAAATAACTTTATCATAATAGACTATTGACCTTGATTTAGGTCCTCTAAAGTGTCAAAAAACAAACAAACAAAATGTGCATTTCTTTCTTCTTCGGCATATCTATAAGATGTACATAATTAAAGCTAATTAACTATACCAGTATTGTATATTCATATGGTGAATACAATGACTACACAATATTGAAAACAACAACAACAAAATTTGTATTTATTGAAATATCCTGTAAATGGCTAATGGTTTGGTTATTATTACACTTTGCTCTGCACCCACTCTCAGACGTACAACTACATCTCATAAGACCCGTGAAGATCTTAGTTAGAAGTATAGGAGAAACCATTTCTCCTCGGGATTACCAGCGATTGTAAACCCTGAAATGAGGTGACATACCGGGTATGTCACCCCATGTCAGGTTTTTACGTAAAGGATAAAACACGTTCCGAGGTTTTGGATGAAAATGTAAACCCGCCTGGGAGGGAAGATCCTAAGGGCCGAAGGCCCGCAGGATCTTTCCGACCAGGCGGGTTTACATTTTCAACCGAAACCGAGGATAAGTGTTTTATCTGACTTAAAAACCAACAAAGTTAATTCTAATTGAGATACGCAATAACGAGGATCTATATATGCGATATAACGAGACTATAAACGCATCCGTGAGCAATGTTGAGTGACGACTACAGGTGTCATGCACGTGCTGGTCGTGCACGCACGCATTGCCCGTGAGCGTCTCCCTCATAATGTGGACAGCTTACAGACGAGTTTCATTTAGTGGCAAGGTGTTGGAGAGAGAGGAAGGTGACGATTTATTTCTCACACAAACGAAAACTAAAAATGCAGATGATTGTGACGAAGAACGGCCCGATGAAGATGAATTTGTGTATCGTTTTGGCGACTGTCAACTTCAATGAAAGTGACGAAAATCTAGGATTGCGTTTAAAATAAAAAATAAAGGGTATGGAAGTCCTGGGGAAATATGTAACTTTTTATAACGATGAAAATCAAGTCCCCGGGTCTTCCACAGTAAGTCCCGGGTTTTCTTCTTAAGTAAAACCTCATGATGGTCTTTCTCAAGTTTGAAGAAACCTAACGATCAATACAAATGAACACTCTGAGGTTTATAAAATCGCTGGTAATCCCGAGGAGAAATGGTTTCTCAAACTTATAAACCGACTCATCGCAACGGTGCGAAATCTGCACGTGCGTCTCGCAATGGCACGAAATCTGCACGTGCGTCTCGTAGGCTGTTCGTAGTTTTTGTTCATTCAAGGGTTTACAATGATTGTGAGCCCTCCTGTGAGGTGTTCGTTCGTTGTGATACCTCCTACGAGGTGTTACCACAATTTCAAAAACTCCATATCTAGTTACACAAACAGACAGTAGGTTTATAATATGACTTCATCAACCCACGCTTGGCGTAAAAGGCGACTATGCTTGTCGTAAGAGGCGACTAACGGGATCGGGTGGTCAGGCTCGCTGGCTTGGTTGATGCATGTCATCGTATCCCAATTGCGTGGATCAATGCCCATGATGTCAATTACTGGATTGTCTGGTACAGATTCGATTATTTACAGACCGCCGCAGTTCATTTTTATGATATATTTACGTTGTGGGTAATGATCACATGGTATATACTAGAATGTCATTCCTCCATCACGAAACGGCTGCACTATATAATTAGGTGTGAGGTAAGATATGGGACCACCAAATAGAGTATGGATTTGGCTGCCAAATTGGGTGACCCCATATCAGAAGATATTTGGAATGCCATTAATTACAGCTGTGCCAAGTTTCATGCTTTTACACAAAGTGCACAATTTATCACAAAACGGCTAAACTATACAATTAGGTGTGTGGTTAGATAAATTCGTTGTCCACCGGTCCCTGGGGGGACTTGGGTTTATGTACCCTTCATGTCAGCTTGTGTTCGGGCTCGAACTCGGAACACTAACTTACATAATCTGACACACAGGTCACATCAACCCATGTTCCCCTCTAGACCGGCGGACAACTTACATTATCTACATCAATCTGTGAACCTGAAACATTCCTCATATGACCTGATTGTCAACCCGGCCCCGCTAGGCATTCAGCATACCACTCAATATATTTTGTCATCCAATTTAAGAGCTCTTGAGTTAATACGTCTACACATCTGGTGCAAGGAAATAAGACTTTTATTTTCACATAGACCGATTATTTACAGTCCGCCGTCATATAGCTGGAATATTGCGGAGTGCGGCGTTAAACAACAAACAAACATCTGGACATCAGTTCTTGGTGTCCTCCACCTGAATACGTGTTTTCTTGTTTGATCAAGTTCAAAGTCCCGGACCACAGGGTTTCAGTAGATATGAAACTCCATCCTCCCCAGAATCCCGAACACCATCCAAGTTTTTTCTCTGAGTCGCATTTCATCACCTCTGAATCCCGCATACTTCTTAACACAAATCTTAAAGGCATTGAGTAAAGGATGCGATTAGTCAAGTCAATGTACCCAAAAAGGGGAGTTGGTCGCCTCAAGGCATGGCCAATTTTAGTCAACCGAGATTTTGCGTAAACAGTTAACATTTAGCAACAGTGGCCAATCAATGTAAACTTGTGCTATCCCTCGGTCAATTCGGATTAGGTATAAAAACACCTGCCCAGCTGAATCATTGTATTTGCTGATAACTTTAATACATTAATATGATCGTAGTTGCCTTCACAGTTAAACAGAGCAGCACGTTATTAATCACCAAACAATTATTAACATCCAGCTTATGATGGAACATCTGTTGGAGGTGTCACATGATAGTGTGCTGCTGGAACAGGATGTTTACTAGTCTGTCTCACTGTCCCTGAACCATATTATTTTCCCTTTCACCCATCCCTTTCTGTAATGCAAAAGCCCGAAATAAAGCAAGTCTAGATTTTCCTCCCAACTCACTAGGGCTCCTTTGAATGTGAAAGGAGTTAATATCAAAATTCTATATTTCAGACACTTAGAGCTAGTCTTTTTGTTTACCCAGGTGTGACCAGCAAATAACAAGTTATATAGCTTTCCGCGTATCGACGATGTGTGCTTGAATCTGTCACATGTGTCACGTGACAAACATCACGAGGTCTGTTTACATCCGTGTCACGGCGAACTTGGATCTGTGTGTCTGTGGCAGTGTGTCCCGCGTTTAGGTAGACGTGTTAATCTTCTGGTAATAGGAAACGTATTGTGGATATTGACAAGGATAGAACGATGTTCGTGTACCTATTTACCAGCATTGCCGTGTCCGTTGTATATGGTAAGATAGCTTATATTGTACATTCATATTGTGCATCAGAGACATAAAATGATGTCCTATGCAGTTCCCTATTTTCACTTCTTTACTATTTGTTCCCGTGTTATTTCAGATCAATTGACTTGCCTTTGCGTGTGTTTGTGGAGGGTGCTATTGGAACAGTATACGCTCACCAGTATGTAAACACCTGTCATCATCATCATCCTATGGCTAGGGACTTGTCGGTCTTATTTACATTATCGTGCCATTAATTTTCCTCCCACAGGTTGTTCTGCACATACGTCCTTGTGCAAGATGTTAACAAACAAACAGCAACTGGTGTCGTGGAATTCCATTGTGACGCACTTCGGTCACGTGTTACTATAGGTCTTCCAGCCTTTGGGTGTCGTTCGATGGCTTCCTTTAAGACATAACACTAAATGAAAAGGCGTCCACGTATCGTCACCTTGAAAATTAGAGATCCAAAGACACATCATCATGTTTGTGAACATATACTTTTGTATATATTGTGAGTCTGTTGTTTCAGGTGGGGATGTACTGTCAGGCAGTGTTTACTGTAAACACCGTGAATGCGCCTTTACACCGGGGCTCTCGGATAAACAGGGGGCCACAGCCTATGGTGTGTTTAATGATACCCTGGAAGAAAAGGGGTGGGCGCAGCTGGACATCCGAGCAGGTTATGGTCGCCAGGCAACCGATGCTGACGTCATGTTTGCTGCAGGGTACCTGGAAGGAGTCTTAACATCACGGTAAATCAGTCATTATGTATAGCTCAAGACTTCTGATACACTGACACAGTTCAGTCGGTAAAGAGCGAAATATTAGTTCTTCAAACCTACAACATCAAGGGGTATTCAATATGGGACATTCTCGAATATCCAGTGTGTTATCTCCGTGGACTGAGGAACATCTTGTCAACTATTCCTTTAAGTCGTCGTGACGTAGTTGTGATTGTGTTGTTGTTATTGTTATGTGTTGTTTAGCGCCGCACTCAGCAATATTCAAGCTTTATGACGGCTGTCTGTAAATGATCGAGTCTGGATCAGACAATCCAGTGATTGACATCATGAGCATTGATCTACGCAATATTGGGATACGATGACATGCATCAACCAAGTCACCGAGCCTGACCACCAGATCCCTTTAGTCGCCCCTTACGACAAGCACAGTCGCCTATTACAGCAAGCATGGGTTGCTGAACACCTATTCTTACCCGGATCTTCACGGGTATCATGATCGGGTAACGGTAGACACTCCCTACACACCCCATCACTCCAAGGTATCGAAGTTTAATGTTAATGTTTTTTATGCAACATGTGCATTTACAACATTTATTGGACTTTGCTGCCATTTGTAGAATTAGAGATAGGCGAACGCTGGTCTTTGTCGCTGCAATCGATTTCACTGTTGTTATCTATACCGTCAGCTGTATTAGCATCAATAGGTATTTTTCATCCATGTTATTCGTTGTTACAAATATATTAACGTCACGGGATTTGGTGCCCTAGTTAGTTTGTAACAGCTGGGAATTCATCATAAAGAGACGTTCTCTCTTGTTTCATAAAACACACTTGTTCCAGAAAATACTGGGATTTTATCAGGATATAATAGGGGTGACTGTTGGTCTTGAAATCACTATTGCGATAACGAGTGATATTGAAAGAAACTATTGCGATAACTATTGATATTGCAAGCAACCATTGCGATAAATATCGATAGTTTTTTTAATGAATTTTAAAGTTGAATTAAACCTTGAAACTGAAGTTTCCTTTGAATGTGATAACCATAACAACAAATGAAAAGTAAAGTTTGTGATATGACTGATTTGTTTTTTCTTTACCCTAATAATTTAAGAAAAAGAAACTTCTACATTACCATGTGTAAATTACTACCACTCATTATCAAAAGAAAATCAAATTTGAACAGCATTGCATGTATTTTATTGAAATGGTAAATAGAACCGAAACTATCGATATTCCTAACTACTATTGATCGGAAACTGATTTAACAATCGATTTATTGACTTTAAGTGCCTACCAGTAGCAATATATCGATATTTCGATTTATCGTGACACCCCTTGTATGTAATGGATATTATAGACTAAATAATCGTGTGTGTTCCATAGTGAATACTCTAAAAGTATTAAATGGTCGGTTCCTAACCACTCCATCGCATATTCATTTTGCCTTTTCTATTTTCAGGAGAATATACCAGCACTTCCAGAATGTGCAATACCCGTTCTTCCTCTCGCAGACCGAAGCCGCGGTTGCGTTTGCGCGAAAGTTTTTGTACGAACAGGACAGGTGGACACGTGACATGATCTTACAATTCTCCTCGACGGACTCATTTTGGCGACAGGTTGGTCACGTGACTGACCAGCTTGACGGCTTGTACACTGGCTACAATTCAGTGTCCACGACCGAAGAAGAGGTGAGAAGTAATAGCTTATTATAGTAATAGCTTATTACGGATTGTCTTGGGATTCAGGGTGAGGTGAGGTGAAATCGAGTTTAACGTCGCGTCCAAGATTATTGCACTTATATAGCGACGTGCATGCACGTGTGTGTGTTAGTCAGCCGTTTTTCTAGTGCTAGCCCACTGAGATACCATGCCGCAGTTCAACATGAATACCTCACTGACACAGTATACTGACTCCGAGCTGACCAGTCCTTGTTTTAGCCCTTAATTCCGAGCGCCAGGCAAGGTAACAAAAAGTACAAACTATTAACGTCTTTTGGTATGACACTGCCGGGGATTGAACCCCGGACCTTCCGCACTCCGGGCGGACGCTCTACCACTAGACCACGAAGGCGGTCCTTGGACAGCAGGGGCAAGGTGGGCACAGTTTCCTAAGGCGTCGCAATTCGCTGTGCAGAGTTGTGTCTCAGGGGTATGTCGGAAACCTTTGATCTACGACATCAAACTGACACGCTGGTGGCGTTAAACCATACTCACTCACTCACTCTGGGCCTACGTTTTTTTATTAAAACTGAAACTTTTCCCAAACCCAAACAAATGAAGTACTTGTTCTTTCGAAATTCCTTCACCTCGGCTTGATGGAGGGATGAGTAAAACATAAAGAACCTTCAATGACTGTCCATGGGAAATGTTTTGTCAATTCTATCTTTGACATTACTGGTAAACCAGGATAGGTTGAGTTGTATCCTGACAACTAACCCCGTATGACTATGTATGAGTTCCTACCAATGACGCGTACAAATGTGAAGAAAGGGATAGCGGGTGGTCCGCGACAAGTAGTACGATTGAAATGGGCGTACCCTGTCTTTTCAATGCTAGCTTTAGACAATGCTTGACAGTGCCGTAGAGCGTAGTCAACTTCATTGTCATAGACCTGTACGTGGACAACATGCGTACATGCGTACCCGAAACAAACCAAATGGGTTGGCCCAAATTCTGTGCACCGCCTAATTGTCTCAAACGCGTTTTGTGAATTGGTTCAACTTATCCGGGATTTCCATTTTTATCAAGCACAAGAAATGTTTTTTTAAAATTATTTTCTCCCAGTAATTCCTTGCATTTTCAAATATAGTAATCTCTTCCAGTTTCTCATTTTTGACAAAAAGGAACACATGATGAACTTCATGATGGTGAAACATTTTTATTTTATTAATGCGCATCGAAACGAGTGTAGTGACTAAGTGGGTGAGTATGGTTTTAAGCCGCTTTTATCAATATGCAAGCAATATCACAGCGGGGAACACCAGTAATGGGCCATGTGGGGGATTCGAACCCGGGCCTTCGAGGTGACGAGCGAACGCGTTTACCATTCCCCCATCGACCCGAAACAAATGTAATTTCATCGCGGATGTGTCATAAAGCAACATTCACTCACCACTGAGGTTCAGTCTGCTGTAAGAATGTATCTTAAACCGTTTGTAGAAGCTGGATTTCTTCATCTTCCAAGCCCTCAGCGCATCGGGAGATCTTTCCGACATCATGGCTGCCAGCAACTCCTCACAGCGCCCTGACTGGAGAACCATGACGAGAGCAGAGGTTGACCGGTTCCTTCTCATGGGAAGTCGTTGTTCTGCCTTGGTGAAGGTGAGATGTACATGTATTCTACCAGTTGGGCTAAATCTTATCAGCATCTTGCCATGCAACACATAATATCACTTCGAGCACGGATGGTCAGGCTTCAGCAGCCCATGCTAGCCGTAAAAGGCGACTATGCTTGTCGTAAGAGGCGACTAACAGGATCGGGTGGTCAGGCTCGCTGACTTGGTTGATGCATGTCATCGATCCCAATTGTGTGGATCGATGCTCATGATGTCAATCATTAGATTGTGTGGTCCAGACTGGATTATTTACAGACCGCCGTCATATAGCTGGAATATTGCTGAGTGCGGCGTTAAACAACAAACAAACAAACGAATGGTCAGGTCATGTCAGACTCCTAACTCGCTGATCGGAGTTACGTCCCTTAGCTGCCACAGATTCGTCTCAACTAGTCCGTTTGGCTCCAAATGAGAACGATGAATTACAAAATAACTCAAAGTTGGGAATAGTTTAGTATATGTCAGTACACGGCAATGAATACCCTGTACCAAACAATATCTGATTTTTGTTATTTTTATCCCCATCACTGTAAAAACATGTTTAAGATACCATGTTGTGATGTGTTGACATCTTGAACGGACGGGGAGCACAACTGTCGGAGGAACAGTGCGCAACAGCAGATATTGTTGGTATTGGAAATGGCTATTATAATTTTCAAACCATTTTATTTGCTATTTCCAACATATTCATCAGATGTTCTTTGCATTCATACTGAGAAAACTAGACTGTAACTTAAGCCCGGCTATCTCTAAAGCACGGGCTGATTGCCTAAAGCCAGACACATCGATCTGTGACTATAGTTTCTATAAGGACAAATATTTGCAGATTGCTTTAATGTTATTCATAGCAAGGAGCGGACTGAAAATGATGAAATATTTTACGCCGCTTTTAACAATATGTTAGCCATCGCATGGCAAGACTTAGTGACGCCAATACATTGAACCAATGTGGGGAATTTAGCTCCGAAAACATTTATCAATAATGCCACCACTGCAAGGTTATAAATTGCTCAGAACAGTAAATCTCAAATACTGTGCTCACCGACAGGAATATATAGATCAAATAGTTTGAGGCTCTATATATTTCCCATGTTATATTTTAGTCATCACAAATGAGCAAAGTCGTCTAGTGTATAAACGTGTACTGAGCTTATTCAGGGGACGAACAATTGATATTTTAGGTAAGTGTGAGGCGGGGCCGTTTTGTTTTGTTCTCAAAAGAACCCAAACAAGGTGGAGAAGGCCGTCTGGTTCCCCCTTTCAGAGACAAAGATTGATATAGAAGCGTTGTCCCTTGACCAGCTTGGTTTAAAATAAAAAGTTTTAATAATAGTGCCATGGAACTCTGTGCAACAGCTACTTCCCAACTGATACGTGTTACACTGTGATATCTATTTGTTATGTCAATAAATTATGGTTGTGAATGTATTTGGCTTGCCAATTTGGTCTGTTTAAACTAAAATGACAGTATGAGCTCATTGTAGTGTTCTTTAAACCATAAAGAACATTATTATCGCAGTTACAGAATTGGAAGTTAATTATATTCAACAATATTATTTACATGATAGATTTGCTTGCCTGAAAAATGATTATGATTGTCATCTACAAATGTTTGCTCGTTCAAAGTAATTAAATATTCTGGTAGATTTTCCAAAAAGTAACTTAAATCTAAATAAAATGATTACACATGAGGCACATTGTAGTGCTACACATGCTACCAGCATTTCTGCTGTCTGAACTATTTCTGATGTAATGATGCTTTCCCCAATTTAGAAATTATATTTCCGATGAATACACAAAATATATTCTTTAATTCCATGCCCTTAAGAAACCCAAGTCATATAGTGGTCCTGCACATCAACTTAAAGGCCCAGCTCTCTGGACCGTATTTTTCTTAACAAGTAGATTCTTAAAGATCTTTTTCATTTTATAAAATTTTAATTTTACTGACATTGCTTGATTGTGTTGCTACACATTATTTCAATGTTTAAGATCCCACGACTTTATAGTGTCGAATATTTTTAGAATAGTCAATTGTTTTAGCCACATTACAGTGAAAGGCATCCTTCCGAAGCGTCATCTTCTCTGAAACCCTTAAGTCTGTTGGGAGCGGTCAGATGGAAGGCCTGGGGCAGACGGACATCGCGCCATGCTTCAGCTTACTTCGGCCTTCGGCTATGTCAGGAAAATAATGTTCATTCAAATGAACGCTAGCATATTATTTTAATTATAACACCAAATGTAGGACTAAGGCTAACATTTGCTTGGTTTAGTTGGTTGCTAATACGTTCGAGTCATGCCTAAGTTCTGATAAATTCAAACCAAGCTTTTACGTCAAACTTGCGTCCCTCCTCAGTAACATTTAATGCGTGTTGTGAAAACTTCAGTTATTGTACTATTTACAGTTTTGTTTAAAAGGTGAGTTGGTAAAATCGTCAGTGGATGTACAAGAGTTACATCCCTTCAACTAACAAAAGATTGCCCGCCTTGACTGAGTTAGTGTTAGTTGAACTTAGTTGGGATTTCGGGTTAGAGTGACTGACTGCGGCGTAAAACAACATACAAATCCTGTTACAATAATCTCATGTTCCTCTCAAGTATCTGTGAATATCATACCCAATGGCATGGCGTCTGTCTATTCCACCAAGCTATTGCACATTCAGTTATGAAAGCCGTCAACCCTCATACTTGCCTTCGCTGTGCAGAGTTGCATCCCTTAGGCGTGTCAGAGGTGAGGTGAAATTAGGTTTAACGTCACGTCCAAGATTATTGCACTTATATAGCGACGTGCATGCACGTGTGTATGGGTGTGTGGGTGTCAGTGTGTGTGTGTGTTTGTGTGTGTGTGTGTGTGTGTGTGTGTGTGGCTGCTTGTACTTGTCCGGACTGATGCCGATTTATAGTGCTAGCCCACTGACATACCATGTCGCAGTTTAACATGAATACCCCACTCAGACACAGTATACTGACTCCGAGCCGACCAATCCTTGTTTTAGCCCCTAAATGCCGAGCGCCAGGCAGGTTAACAGTTAGCAAGTACCATCTTTTAACGTCTTTTGGTATGACGCGGCCGGGGATCAATCCCCGAACCTTCCGCTCTCCGGGCGGACGCTCTACCACTAGACCACGGAGGCGGTCTAGGCGTGCCAGAAACCATTGATCTTTGGTTCAAACCCTGGATCCTTGGTTTGTCATCATAATATTCGTGGTCTTGGGTTTTACAAAAGTTGTGGCGCCAAAGACCTGCATCACTTCGGGCTTTCCTCTCTTTCCTCAAACTGACACGCCGAGATATAACTGAAATACTGTTCATTCACTTGGTAATCTGTAGTTTGAGTAGTATGTAGGGGTGTTTACTGCAGCTGGGAACAGAAAGTCTGTTAGCTTTAAATCACGATGTGTAAGCGAAATGAGACAGCACAACTTATGGGCAATTAATGGCGATGCCTTAGACCACGAGGCAACCAGTGTTAGCGCGGTGTGCATGTATTAGCACCCTTGTCTATAGATCTGGCTAGCAACATTGCTTTGGTTTTATTAACTGACTTCTGGCATAAGTGATACGAGTATTTGCAGGCACGGGTGTATAGTGTTCAGACAAAGTAATCTCATAATGGGAGAGTTTGGGGAGCCAACCCGGGTTACGCATGATTTCATTTCGAACCGTCATTCGACAAAACTTCAACAACTGAGTGAGATGAGTGAGAGTGAGAATGTGACAGAGTGAGTGAGTTTCTGAGTGAGTGAGTGCAATATTCCAGACAGTGAGGTCCGTGAAATCAAACTCGAGCCTTCGGCGCCACAAGCGAACACTTTAACCACAAGGCCTCCACACCGCCCGTCAGTACATTTGACAACACACAATGCAACTTGGTTGACAGCAACTATATTTATTTCCTCAGGTAACTGACAACTTCGATGACATTTTCATGGGCCATTCGACGTGGTTCCTTTACCAGACAATGTTGAGGATTTACAAGTACTGGACCTTTAAACTACGGGACGAAACCACCAAGATGTCCTTCTCGAGTTATCCGGGTTAGTCTGCCTTGCTTACTGGTAATGCCCACCCTTACTCCATCTTCCCGAGGCAAGAGAGTTAACTGACTTTAAAAGTCCAGTTGCCGAACTAGGCTGGAATTCCTGGGCTCGATCGTGGCGCCACCAGTGGTTATAACGAATTATGTCCCTTCTAAGCTTTTCCTCTGGACCAATCAGATTCGATCACTTGCATTTGTTTCAAACAAAATGGCGGCGCCGAGTCAAGACGATCTGATCGATAATCAAGATCTATATTCTGATAAAACGGGTCTTACATCGCGAAGTGCATCAAGTCACGCGTGCATATTGATTAAAAACATGAAAAGGTTTGGAAAATATCTGTTGACAACGAGTTGGCGGTGCACATCCTTTGCAAATCCTTCAATCGACCGAAATCTGCACGACAGTTTACGAACCGGATTTCGATTTCGTTGCGCGATTTTGATCTATGCATAGACTCGTTAGTCCAGCCAAAATGTAACTCCATAATACCAGCCTAATTCGGCAAGGGTGGAAACTGGACTTTTACAGTCAGTTAACTCTCTTGCCTCGAGAAGATGCCCTTACTCCTGACAGTACCTTCTTTACAGGCTATCGTAAATACGGCCGCTTTACGGTGTAGTAGATACACGTATCTATTGTTAGTAAGGTAATGGAATGGGTTTGGAATATACCTCATGAGCCCTTCTCCCTGTCAGAATATGACACTGAAGCAAAGTGTAGAGAGTCGATGGCTGCACAACTTTGTCACCCATAGTGCACGAGAAATATTGCCGATATTTTTTTAGGGTTCATTGGTATGGACAATACGATGGTGTCACTTCAGCTGGAACCGGAAGTGAAAATAGTGACTTCAACGCAAAGCGGCCGTGAACGTTAAAATATAGTCTTGCCGTTAGACACAGTGTTAATTTCTCTGTTTCCCTTTGGTTTCTGTGCATGAAGACATATGTCTCGAATTTCATCTGACATATCTTTTTAGTTTTATGACCAGTGAAGACCCGGGTTAGAATTAGTCTGAAACAGTTTGTAAAGTTGACTAACTTAATGAATTTCACTAACCACTCAGACACTTACATGTTACTTGACGTTATTAATCAGTTAGTATTTGTTTTACTAGGTGGGAAAACTAACACGCAACTAAAAACGGTTAAGTAGTAATCAGATCTACCATCAATTTCAGCTTCCTGTAGGGGAAAATACTGTTAGTCATACAGCAACAACACATTGATGAAAACAAAGAATTTCTTATCCGATGGGAGTCGAACCTGCAACCTCTTGGTTTGTAGTCCATCATGCTACCATCTGTGGTACGGAGACTGTTGTCGTTACAAGTGTCAATTTCCTAGTCACTATTCACTTGGTTTGTTTGTACATTTTAATGTTAATATTGTACCAAGTTCGTTGTAAGCCCTGCTGGTACATGTGATATGGAAGTGCCTGTGAATCGGATTTGAACATCTAATTTCAATATATAGTTTAGATCTTAGCCATGTTTCATGTATAGCCTGATGATATGCACTTATGTAACATGTTTAAAGGTGTTTAAATTCTAAACACGTTAAAGGTGTTTAAATTCTTAACATGTTTAAAGGTGTTTACATTCTAAACACGTTTAAGGTGTTTAAATTCTAAACATGTTTAAAGGTATTTACATTCTAAACACGTTAAAGGTGTTTCAATTCTAAACACGTTAAAGGTGTTTAAATTCTAAACACTTTAAAGGTGTTTAAATTCTAAACATGTTTGGATTATGGGGTTGTTGTGTTTAGGTGAGGTTTAGGCTATGAGGCGATAGCTCATTTCATGTGTTTAGACCCTAAGCGTGTTAAGATGGAATGTGCATACCGTTTTGTATTGAAAAACATTCCTAAACATGTCTTGTATGTTGACATTCTTAACACAATTTAATAAGTGATATTTTCTAAACTTCAGCACCTTAATGCAATCTTCTAGATAGGATAGTAAATTCGCTGTTGACCAACTTTCTGACCATAGTTACTTATTAAGTTACGAGAATTTACTTTGCTTTTTCATACGTAGACTAACGGCTTTGGTTGGTCAGGTTCGTTGACTTAGTTGATATATGCAATCGTGTTCCAGTTGAGTAGATCTTTGCTCTGGATGTCAATGACTGGATTGTCTGGTCAAGATTATTTACAGATCTTCATCATACAGCTTGAATATTGACGAGTTCGTCCTTAAACAACAAACATCAAACACCGTTTTAGTTATATTTGACTAGTTGCCACATCAGTGCCCACTTACATAAAGCGAAACCCGTGAAGATCCGGGATAGAATAGGTCTTCAGCAACCCATGCTTGTCGTAAGAGGCGACTATGCTTGTCGTAAGAGGCGACTAACGGGATGGGGTGATCAGGCTCGCTGACTTGGTTGATGCATGTCATCGATGCCAGTTGCAGCAACATTCATTTGTTTTTCTTCTTAATAATCATTAATATAACAATGTCTCGTTCGCGTGGGTGTACGACTCGACATGCAGCCACAAGTAACCTCCATTTTTAATCAGAACAAGATACACTGTGGCGGGGGATAGTGATAACTATGCTTCTCGCTATATTGTAAGTTTGTCAGTTGTGGACGTCTGGGATATGCATCACTTCTGGGTTTCCTCACACATCGAGACCCGGGGTAGAATAGGTCCTCAGCATCCCATGCTCACCGTAAAAGGCGACAAACGGGATCGGGTGGTCAGGCTCGCTTACTTGGTTGATGCATGTCATCGTATCCCAATTGCGTGAATCGATGCTCATGATGTCAATCACTAGATTGTCTCGTCCAGACTCGATTATTTACAGACCGCTGTCATATAGCTGGAATATTGCTGAATGCGGCGTTAAGCAACAAACAAACAAACAAACAAACAAACAAAACATAAAACGACATCAGTGCTACGACGACCGTCAGTCACTGTTAAAGTATGGGATGATCGTAACGCTAAGACTGCTTTGTGTAACACGATCCAGGTTGCTTGTATCCCATCGTTTATCGTAAGAGAAAGATGTAATAACCGGCTGTTCAAAACGTGTGAACCTTATTGAGTGTGTGTCATGGTATTGTATAAAGTGCATGTGCCACCTTGATATGGCTATAATATTGACGTTTACGAAAAGATACACTTACCTTCATACGATAGACATGCATTGTACCACAACTGGCGAGTGGGCTTATATCATCGCCAGTTTATCCGTCATCCATTGTCCGTAGCCGTCAATTCCTTTGAAACTGTTGGAATCACGGAGTGGAGATTTGACATGCATGTTCATACCCCAAAACAATATTCTAATTCTTGTTCAAATTACGTATTCATTAGTTCCAAATAGTTATAAAGGTGTAAAGATAGGCTCTTTAATTCTGTCAGATGTTTCAGTGCCAGAAAGATGAGAATTTTGTTTCAATGCTAAAAAGCGTTTCAGGCGGCACAACCATAGTCTGCTGATGAAGATAATGACGTAAAAAATACCTATTTTTCTTCTCGCTTGTTCAGCTGCTTTAAGTGAACCCGTAATGGAAGTGTGCCATCGTGAGAAAACTATAAGTAGGTCTGCAAAATATCAACTTTCTTTTAAACTTTACGAAAATGATAATGACATTTAATAAGTTGATGTATTACCAAAGCATCATGATCCCCGTTTTAATCTTTTCTCATTTTTCCTCTGAACCAACATGTGCTGAATGGAACCTTGACGTATAAACTAGCGGGAAATATGTAACTGTGCTTCATATACAGTGGGGTAAATGATATAGTTTTGAAAAAAACCCAGCATGATATTTGGTCATTCGTCTGATCAATGTTTTATCATAACAAATTCATTGACAAAACCCATACCTGGAAAGAGGAGATAGACAGAGACATGCCCAAAACTAGAGGTGGTGTACCAATTCAATTAACTATATAACTAACTGAATGTCAATATCGGTGTAACCATCATTTGAGTTGATACAGGCGAGGCAGTGGCGCGTTGAAGAATTAAGATGATGGAAAACAGCCTGGGGGATGTTGCTCCAAATGTCAATTAAAGATTGATCAACTGAGCTAGCTGAGTCAGATTTCGACTTGGTCTGGTCCCGTCGTAGGCGTCCGTCTAACCCATCCCAGACATGTTCTATAGAAGCGTGATCTGGAGAAACAGCCGGCCATGGAAGTACAGCAATGTACTGCTGCCCCAAGAAGACTTTTACAACTTACACGTGCAAAACGTGGGCGGGCAATGTCCTGCTGTAACGTTGCGTTACGTCACTGAATTTGTAGAACAAAAGTGCTGAACGATCTGAACATGATCTCGAACGATGTCGTCTCGGTAGCGTACGCGATACAAATTGCCATAAGCAATGATGAGTTGTGATGCCACCCCATACCATTACACTTCCACTCCCAAACTGACGACGTTGAGTAAGACAACCTTCGCTAAAAACGTTCTCCTGGACGCCTAGCACGACCACCAGGGCTGTCCACATGAAACCAGGACTCATCTGTGAACAGTATACTGTCCCAGTCAAGTCTTTTGAACCTCATATGTCTACACCAAGCTAGGCGTGCCTGACTGTGTCGTGGGTGCAAAAATAGGGCGTATCGCTGGACGTCGGGGTCAGATGTTGTGCTCCCTTAACATACGGTTTGCCAATTATTGATCTCAACCCAGGACTTATCCGAGCTATTATTGTGGCAGTTTTCGTAGATGCACAAACTGGTTGTCTTGTCTTGTCTTGTGGACGACCGGACCGTGGCAAGTCATGTGGTGCCAGGCTTTAGATAACGTATCCAAAGAGTTGATATTGTATTTCGATGAACATTAAAATGTCTGGCACCTTCGTTTTTCGCCATTTCTGTTGGCAGATTCAACAAGTCGTGTTATAGTGTAAGCGATATTTACGGTCACACGAAAGTATGTTTGTGAGCACCTGATAGCTGTACAATCATTGTGGATGAGTATCATGCTCCAAACAAACACTCCAACATCCAATTTGTGCGTCCAGCATTAACACGTGAATCACGACCATAAAGTCGAGGAGAGGACTTGAAAGATGCATTTCAGACTAAATTTATTTTTATTTAACTTTATATGAAGCACAGTTATTTTTTTCGTTCGCATATGGGTATTCACATCATTATTTGTTTACAAACTTAAACATTTGTATTTGTTAAACAGTATGGTACCCGTAACAATGCACGCCGAAAAGTGCAAAATATATGCCACGTTAAACTGCACAACTTCTGTCATAAAAAGGCCTTGACTTTGGAATATCAACTGACAAGACGGCACTGAACAAGGACAGTAAAACGCTGGCAGATTGGTGACTGACAGAGAGTGCGATTTACCGACGAAAGCAGGTTCTGCTTATTCCATAATGATGGTCGGAATTATCGTCTTGGGTGGCCAGACTGGCGCTCCATTTGGTGGTGGTGTGATAATGGGTTTGGAGAGGAATTTGTGGCAACCAATGGACGGGTTTAATCATCATCCGTGGCAACCTCAACGGTCAGATCTACAGTAATGACGTTGTTCAACCCGTGGTGTTACCATTCCTTCGCCAACAGCAACAGGAACACTCTCACTTCTGCAAGGGTCGTCCAGGATTTCTTGGCTGTGCACAAAGTCGCCGTTCTTCCAGACTTAAACGCCAATGAGCAGTTGTCGGATCACCTAATGAGATCAGGAGGCGCATTCACCTCACAACAACAGCTGGAAGCCGCACTGAGGGACGAGTGGCAACGGATCCCCAATGACGTCATCAGGTTTTTTTTTGAAGGGCAGTCTATAAATCTACAGCAAACAAGAGATTGTTTGGTAAAAAACAGCACAAAAGTTATTTGTGTCAATTTATTCAGACGTGATTGCAGGCACATCAGTGTTCTGCGTGAGATGATTTATGTAAGGTAATGCTGCTCTCCCGCAGGAAAGAACAATCATAATAGTATCTGAATATAAATATTCTACTCACTGACATTTAGAACAAGATGTAGCAGACTTTGTGTCTTTCCTTATGTTACTTACTGCTCCAGTGTTTATGTGTGTTCTTCTTTAAGATCGCTTTTAATATTTTTTACTCGCATATTTATAGTCGATTTTCCTGATAGTAAGTATGCATATCTTTGACATGTTCTTTGATTCTTTGACATGATGATAATCTCCTTTCTTTGATCAACGTTTTCTCCGATACGCAAATAGCACATCAATAGGAAAAAAAGGCGACAACGCCATTTCCATACTCATAAGAAATCTCTTCTCAAAGCGATTCCGACTACTACATACGTTTTCGTTTATGAACGAAAAGGTGAGCATCTCCTGCCCCACCGGTGGCACCCTCACAAACACATGCAAATGCAAGTCAAGTGAAATGGGAAAAGTCCACCCACATCTCTACCACAAAATTTTTTGAAAATATAAATTGTCAGTGCAAGAGAATAACCTGTCCAGAGTATACCAATAACAACATACCAATACCTTACATGCTGAAAACATCCATTTTCTTATCACAAATAAAAGGATTTTTTTACATATGTGGGTTCCCAGACAACAATGTGACATACTTGTATATGTACGTTCAACCAAAATCACGTTTTGTGATCCATTTCAAAATTTGGTATGGTTTGACTGTCATGTGACAGTATAACTCAGAATTTGCGCGAGGTATTACCGGGGGAAAAGGTGATGCTACCAGAAGTCCTGATTAGTAGCTATCATCATCATTGTGAATATTAACCTGTGTTTACATACACCGTGTATAAAATTATAATATGCTCGGATTCCTTTGCTATTTTTCATCCTGACATCGGACCTATTTCTGCATGGTCGTGAGACCTTTGACCTATTTCTATGTAATTTAAAAAAATAAAATTTGACAAAACAAATAACAACAATATTTCATAGTAACCTTACCATTTCGATACCAAAGCGGTTTACATGAGACAAATGGCAACAAGTTGAACTAATAAGACGAATATGAGTCGTGTTAGGCTAATAAAGCATATTTCTTTGGTTAAGCAAACCTGATGCCATGGTTCTAAATTTGTCCCACTCATCTTCTGTTCCACTTGGTTTTCCGGATTTGAATAGCCCCCAGCAACCTATGCTTGTAGTATCAGCCAACGGAATGTTTCGGGTGGTCTGGCTCGGTGATTCGGTTGGTTGCGTGTCATCCTGCCCCGACGGCGTGGATCGTTGAACATAACATCAATCATTTGTGTGTCTGATCCAGACTTCATTATTTATTGGCCACGGCCATGTAGCGGCGTTTCACAACAGACAGTCAAACAGACAGACACACAAAATACTACAAAAGAACCAACCAAAATATTATCTCTATTATTATACGAGAAAGACAGCGAACCCAGGTCTGATAATGAAGCAGGAACGAGACATGTTAGACTACTGCATCTGACCCTATTCACTCACAGCCCGTGTTGCCATCGACGCAAGTAGATGCAGTGTTTGCCATGCAGTCTATATCTTATCCTCGCACAAATACTTGTTTCAGGATTATTGGTATCCGTAGACGACTTCTACGTGATGAGCGACACGTCAATGGTGATGCTGCAGACTACCAATGACATCTTCAACGCATCTTTGTTCAGCCTCATACAACCTCATTCCCTTCTTGCCTGGCAGCGAGTACGAGTCGCCAACATGGCGGCAACATCAGGACCGGAGTGGGCCGAAATGTACAAGAGATATAACTCGGGTATTGATCATGACTGCACTCAATTTGCCGTGGGGATCCTTGGGCACAATAACCCGAAAGAGTTGATTATATATATTAAGAAGAGGAGCTGCTTGTAAAAATTGTTTGGTCTGGTTGATTGTATGTTATCGTACCACGACGTCGTGGGTCGTTACTCACACTGTCACTGATCACGTGGTTGTCTGTCCCAAACTTGATACTTAAATGGTTATATGGTTGTTATATTACTGACAGGAGCGTAAAATCATTCAGTTTAATTCGTATTTAGTATGCTTGTCGTCAGATCCAGAGATGCCCCCTAAATGTTTCCGGTCAACTTGCGTTTGAGGGACATGCATCTGATGTAAAATAAATGAGTCATCCTACTCTTGACGAGCACCAAGATCTCACATAACAGTATAGTAAATCATGAACCTAGTCAAATAAAGGAGTTTCTACTCTTTGCTCAGACGCCATAAAAGAGACAATTTTCAAGACGCACAAGAGGATCTGCCACAGAGCAGCTCTTGCTTCCCACATAGAACATGAAGTCAAAATGGGATGACCTTCCATACCATGTGTGTATTTGTAGGCACTTACATGAATCAGTACATGGTGATCGACTTGAAGCGCTACCAGCCTCGGAAACACCTTGAGGACAACCTCCTGTGGGTAGTTGAACAAATACCTGGACTTGTAATTGCAGCTGATCAGACAGCGATACTGAGGAAAGGTACGTCCATTATTCTTCAAAACAGTCTCTAAGGTGATTCCGTGGCAGAATATGTCACAAGATATTGTTCTGGGAGTCGACTAAATAAAACTGTTTTTTAATGTTTCATTTTAAATGTTTCTATGCATTGGAACGTAAGTACTGACGTAATCCAAGTTCATATGCAGCAATATTTTTATGACACTTCTTAAATATTCATATCCACACAATTGTCGTGACCAGCCTCAAAATGGTAACAACGAATTGTCATATTCAATGTCAAGGGGTCTTGTAGTACTGAAATATATTTCAGTTGTACAGCAACAAGGAAATTTAGAGTGGCTCTTGTTCAATTTAGATCAGATTAGTATGGGGACTGGAAGACACCTCTATATAGAACTGCACCTAAGAATATGAAAATGTAAATATAAAACGCCAGAGACAATTTCAAAGCATGTGTGAAACTGAGACAATGTGTCATAATATTTGCGGTCTTTGAGAAACTCAGAAGTGCTGGGACTACCAAAAAGCCTGATCTGTAAATTGGATTTTCCGAAGGGTAATTAATTTAATATACATCCTACATCCAACCCGTGAAGATTCCGGGGTAAAATAGGTCTTCAGCAACCCATACTTGCCGTAAAAGGCGACTATGCTTGTCGTAAAAGGCGACTAACGGGATCGGGTGGTCAGGCTCGCTGACTTGGTTGACACATGTCATCGATCCCAAATGCATGGATCGATGCTCATGATGTCAATTACTGGATTGTCTGGTCCAGACTCGATTATTTACAGACCGCCGTCGGGGGCACGGGTTGCCCAGTCGTCTAAGGCGCCGCGATTCGCTGTTCAGAGTTGCGTCCCTTGGGCACGCCAGAAAACTATGATTGTGGGTTCGAATCCCGGTTCGCCTGGATTATGTTTCTAGGTTTGTCAGCACCATACCCGTGCTCGTGGGTGTCACCAAAGTGGTAAACGTCTAAGACCTGCATCACTTCGGGCTTTCCTCCCACATTAAGCTGACACGCCGTGATATAACTGGAATACTGTTAAAAAAACGGCGTTAAAACCAACTCACTCACTCACTGACAGACCGCCGTCATATAGCTGGAATATTGCTGAGTGCGGCGTTAAACAACAAACCAGCCAACCAACACCCTACATCCAACAAATTTTATCGTTAAATCTCCATAGGCTACTGGGCGTCCTACAACGTCCCCTTCTACGAGTCCATCTACAACATCAGTGGCTACCCTGAATTTGTGTCTGTACACGGCTCCGACTACTCGTATGAGATGGCCCCCAGGGCTAAGATATTCCGTCGAGACCACAGCACCGTCCATGATGTGGTGACCGCCCGACAGCTGCTCAGATCTAACGGTAAATACACATGCTGTTACCATTGTGTGTTTCTGTCCTACCCAGTTTACTAATTTAGTCTAGCATCGGGGCCAACATGCTATAGTTACAGGGATTAAATGGTCTTGTATGTATGTCGTAATTCAAATTATTTTCGACTCTCCGCTCATCATAATATTTTCAAGGATTTCAAGCTTCAAAACTATAAAAGACAACAACAACCATTCTTGCTTGAAAAAAGGGAAAAACATCTTCTGTCACCTTTCTTAGTCTTAATTCTTTATAAACTGATGAGGGGATTCGAGATAGCCAAGTGGTAAAAACACTGACTCACTGCAAATACTGTGTATGATTGCTCACAGTGCTCGAGGGTTTGAGGCCGTGATATAGCTGTATCGTTTAAAGAACTGAGTACAACCATACTTACTTTCTTGGACACATAATGTAGTGTGATAAACTACATTTGAAAAAACTCATTCTGCTTCAGATCAATTCTAAAGGTTGTATTTATATGCTTTCTTTGAAAGAAAATGTATTTGCCGATGTTTTGAAATAAACACTGATCTATAGACGCCATGTTCTGTGTAAATCACCTTCTCCTACGCAATGCTGGCACTTAGGTGCGTGGTTACGAATGGCTTCTAAGTTTAAAGATTGAAAGCAATAATTATTTTCAAGAATTTATAGAACGCTGCCCCCCAAAAACAATGAAAATCACACGTTTAGGCTGTTAACCTCAATACAGAGAAAATATGTGACATGTCAGAGATATGCAGGCTATGTGATTCTATATCGACTAGACTATGGATTACAGCTGATCTAGGCACATATATGTCATTCTTTGAAAATGGACAGGGATAAAGTGCAAAGCCCCAAGACTGTAATGCATCGGGACGAGCTTAGTTTCGGCTTGGCAGATGATGGCACCTAATGCCTTTAATCTTTTAAATTCTTTTTTTGCCTTTCAGATTATGTCCATGACCCTTTTTCGGAAGATAATGCTTGCTATGCAGTCTGTTGTCGGGGCGATCTGGTGACGCCGGTACCTATGGCATTTGGATGCATAGATACAAAGGTAACATAGGAATGTTTTGCAGAAACGTGGAGTTGGCAGTTCATAATGTCAATTCGACTATTTGTTGCTTCCAAGCTATATTCCTAATGGTTCCACCTTGTTGGTCATATAATCACAGGTGACTTCTCTATTTTTGAAAATAACAAAGTTCGTCAGTTATTCAAATATTGGACAAAATATCGTGAGCAGCATCCAACCAATTGGGATCACAGCTTTAAAATCAGTATGGATGCTGTCGAATCATATGCCATTAAATTGGTCAAAAGAGAAGATGAACCTTTTGAATATGTTTCAGAGTGGGTTAAGTCAGTGCGTGATTGTGTTGTTGTGAAAATGAGGAAACATAATTGGAATTTACGTGTTTTGTCCCAGTCAGCTGTCTGGCTACCCCACACCAAAAGCTTGTGGTTGTTCCCCCATTGGCATGGTCTCGAATACCATTGCTATATATAAGCCTCACAACATTGATTGTTTGATCAAAGAACTTGGTACAAGTGATAGAAATCTGTTAACTGAGGAAGAAATCTGCAAAAACAAAGCAACTGTACTATCAACTTTTGACCTGACTCTAAGCCCTGAAGACAGGTCTATTCCTCCTGTGTACTAGATTCCAAAGCTCCAAAACAATCCGCACAAACAGCGATATATAGCTGGACCCAGCAATTATACCACTAAATCCGTGTCACAGGGATTAACCATGATCTCTGATACTATCAAGGAAGGACTTTCTTTTCATTCACAGAGAACGTGAGACCACTTAATACCATGTGGTTTCTCAAAGACTCAGTGGATTTGCTTTAATCGTTGCAATATCAGAAAAGAACCAAGCTCAATTATGTCAAATCATTCAAATTTCAACTTTGCACACCACAATCTCACACGATAAACTAAAGGGAAAACATCCTCGATCTATGTGACATTTGTCACTAAACGTTGAGACCAAAGACATAGTTAACTCTCTATTTTCAAAGATTCAGGACAGTTTGTAAAAAATGGAAGGAAAGGTCACATGAAGTTTACTGAGCAAACAATATGTAAGAAGGCGGGACATCATCAAAGATAACACCTATGTGAAGAAGTAAGCATCCCAAATGGGCACCAGTTGTGTTCCCCTGTTGCTGATCTGCATATGGATCAGAATATCTGATCGGATTGGCAAAGTCAAAACAAAGTGATTTGGCCAAGAAGTTTATTTTAAGTTTCAGGTATGTCGATGACCTGATAACCATGATTCACCATGGAATAGCCAATTCCCCACCTGAATTAGAAATAAGAGAGACTAGTGAAACCGCCTCAACTGATTCATATTTAGATCTATGTATAAACATTCAGAGTGGCAAAAATCTCTCCACAAGACAAGAGGGATGACTTCAACTTTCCCTTTATGTCAAGCACTTTTCCAGTAGCTCAAGCCTTTGGTGTTTGCATTTCACAACTTTTGACGTACAATCGAGCACGTTTTATCTGCGAAGATTTCAAAGAGCGTCATACGACTCTTGCTCAAAAGATTTTTTATCAACACTCAAGGCCTCAGTAAAGTTTTTATATTCTTTTGGACAAAAACGATGCAATTCAGTATTTTAACTTGTTCCCGTCATGTTCTCATGTGTTTTTCAGAATAATTGACTTGCCTTTTCATGTGTCTGTGATGAGTGTCATCGGTTCGGTAGGATATGCTCACAATTTCGCAAACTGATGTCATCAGTATTTGTTAGTTATTCATAAACACATGCTCATGATACAATTGGAATCGTATAGTTGTTTTTATGATGTATTGAAAAATCTTTTGTCACATCATGCAGTATTTATGCCATTTAAATAATAATCAAAGGTTTATGAGGATCACATACATTTCCAGTCCAATGACAATAATATCCTAAACAGAGTCGATGTGATATTTGCAACGTCTGAAACGGGTTTTTTATTATGATTTTTTATTAGGTAACAGATTTCAACCTTGCCTTGAACAGCTCTGCCTCCATCATAAATGGTCCAACTACAACAAACCACATGGAACCATTTGATTGGTCGAAAGAATTCGAGAATATATCCCACATTGGATTGCCCCAAAGATATGATTTTTCTTTCTACGACGTCTATGCCATGTTGTAGGAGACCTATGTACTATACATTAAACAACACTGCTGGAACAGCAAACACTCGTCTCATAAGGTATTGTTTTATATACCTATTGCAATATCAATGCATATGAATAATTGTTTTTCTTTTATTTACTCAGTGCCGTTTTTTCGGTTAAAATTTTGTCTTTGTGGGTTTTTGCTTTCGGCGTACATTTGAATGCCCTTAGATAAATATTTCAAAACCTAATTTCAAAAGGTATAATAGTAATACAATACTACAATATTTCTTGGCGTTAAGATGTCTCATTACCGGACTGCATGTATACACCTGTGCAAAAGTTAAGCACCATTCATAATTTTATAAGCGGGCACGGGTGGCCCAGTCGTCTAACGCGCCGCTATTCGCTGTGCAGAGTTGAGTCCCTTGGGCACGCTAGAAACCTATGATTGTGGGTTCGAATCCCGGTTCACTCCGATTATGTTTCTAGGTTTGTCAGCGCCATACCCGTGCTTTTGGGTTTCACCGGGGTGGTAAACGGCTAAGACCTTCATCTCTTCGGGCTTTCCTCCCACATTAAGCTGACACGCCGTGATATAACTGGAATACTGTTAAAAGCGGCGTTAAATTCAACTCACTCACACATCATAAGTTCATAAATGTGTTATCTTTACACTGACTGTAAATCATTTCCCTTGTATGTATGAAACATTACTCAAGTGAGAATGTAGCATTGATGTTCATTTGCAACCACACCTAAATAAAAAGTTATCTGACCAGTATTTCACATGTTGTTGATCTTTTAGAGAATGTTACATTTTCTATTGTTTTCCACCCAATTAATGTATGGGCCCATGCGTAATGGTTGAGTCCTATTTGCTGTCAGTCATCGCAGTTTCCGAACCTTCTGACCCTGTGTCGTGTCAGTAGCTGGTGTAACACGACGGAAGTAATAGCGTTTACAACACAACTATGGAGAATTGGCAACAAGGATATGTTGTTACAATCTTCATAAAGGGCATGTTCGTCATACTGTTTGTGTAGGTGGGTCCCTGGCTATCACACGACGACTCAACTAATGGCACAAGTGCTAAATTGTGTTGAAACCGGACTGTTTTAATTTGCTCCCTGGGCAGGCGTGTTGTAAACGTCATCAGATCACGTGGCGCTTACTGTTTCTATTGACACCGACACAATGTGTGTTTGTCAGTTTATTATTACAAAAGCTTTTTGGCAAATTTTCGTATGGAAAGGTAGTAGTGACAACTGTTTATATAGACAATTTAATGTCCGTATCATCTCACAAAAACAAAAATCGACGTGCTGACTCGCTTTGATTATGTATGAAGGTTTGTCATCGCCACACACGTTTTAATGGGTTTATTCAATAGTGGTTGATATTTGACACCTGCTTCACTGCGGTAGAGATACACTCTTCAAAAAAGAAACGCACTGGTAGTATGTAGTTCATTGAACCTGACTACACAAATAATCCGGTGTATAAATTGGATATTTGTTATTCGAAATGTTGGTGGCCTGATATTCGACAAACGGTGCGTCAAAACGCAGCCATTGTTGATTTGCAATGTCTTAAACGGCCTTGTTTTCACACTGTTAAAAAAATGTCATGGAGGAAAACAGTAAAGCGAAATGCACGTGCAAGTTATGGCATTCGAAACTCGTGGTGGTGGCTATACAAAGGCAAGCATAAGCCAATAATTTGTCATTCAATTGTCAACATTTTTCAAGTTCGAAAATCCCGAGACTCGGCGCTGCCGATCGAAATATCGCCATAGGACGTATCCAAAGAGGGCAATCGCAGTCTTCTGTTGCACGCCACTTCAACGACCACCACAGCACCATTTGCCGCCTTTGTGACCGATACACACAGTTCAATTCCACTGCAGACCGTCCGAAACCCGGCCGACCAAGAGTTACCACCCCTGCTCAGGATCGCTACATTCGACTGTTCCAATAACGTCATCGCAATGCCACCGCTACGGAGTCTGCAGGATGCATCCCTGGTTTGAGGAGAACAGATAGAAGAAGCTTCACATGATAGGCCCTCACATCCGTAAAGTACTAGATTAATATCATATCCATTTATGAAATATAAGAAATTGCTTCTAATTTGATCATAATTGCAACAAACAAACAAGTAGTGAAGCTGGTCTTCATAGCATTGACCACAGGAGCAACCTGGGCTGTCAGTTATGAATCTGTCGAATTTGTGTCCTCAATCTGGAGTAACGACAACCAAGCGATGAGACGCAGGATACGTGCTATATAGTGATGAGCAGAAGATTAACATTGACAACAACAGGTATTGGATAACAAGCAGCACACAGATAATTGGTAGAAACCAGATGTTCCAGTAAGAATAACAAACAAAATACAAACAGGTAATGAAGCCAGATGTACGGTAAAGGCAAGGATTAGGAAGTTCATAGGCAGACGGGATGTAATACCCTTGATCTCTGTTGATCAAAGGTTTGTGGCAGTGTAAAACTCTACATTGAAACGACACTAAATGCAATAAACAAGAAGTTGTTATCCATAAAGTTGTACGTTTTCTTTTACTCACCAACTTCTGGAATGTCAATAAAACATCCATAGTGTGTGTTCATTGCATAGTGTACAGGCTGAACATTTCGACATTGCATAACGCACATAACGCGTGTTTAAAAGAGAACCGATCAAGGTCAAAGTGTTACGGAAGACGCCGACATGTAGATCAAGGTTTGTAGGACAACGCATAATGGTGACATTCAGAATACAGATCAAGGTCAGTTAAAAATACAGGAAAACATATTACTGGCACCAATTACAGTGGACCATTGTCGCCATCCTGTCGAATACCCTTGTGTTATTGATCGAGCGCTTACTCAATAACACGAAATGTTATTTACTGTATGTTTAGAAAAATCTCCTGGGCATTTGCGTGTGTGCGAGAGAAAGAGATAGAATATGGAGGATGCATTTAAAGTGTAGAATTGAAAGTAGTATTGAGGAAAGCGAAGAACGAGAGGAGGGGGGTGCATATGAGAGAAAGAGTAAAAGAGACAGAGGGTAGGGAGAGATGTATGAGAGAAATTGAAAGAGAGAGAGAAGGTAGGGAGGGATGTTTGAGAGAAAGAGAGAGAGAGAGGGTAGGGAGGGATGTATGAGAGAAAGAGAGAGAAGGTAGGGAGGGATGTTTGAGAGAAAGAGAGAGAGGGTAGGGAGGGATGTATGAGAGAAAAAGAGAGAGGGTAGGGAGGGATGTATGAGAGAAAAAGAGAGAGGGTAGGGAGGGATGTTTGAGAGAAAGAGAGAGAGGGTAGGGAGGGATGTATGAGAGAAAGAGAGAGAGGGTAGGGAGGGATGTTTGAGAGAAAGAGAGAGGGGGTAGGGAGGGATGTTTGAGAGAAAGAGAGAGAAGGTAGGGAGGGATGTTTGAGAGAAAGAGAGAGAGGGTAGGGAGGGATGTATGAGAGAAAGAGAGAGAAGGTAGGGAGGGATGTTTGAGAGAAAGAGAGAGAGGGTAGGGAGGGACGTATGAGAGAAAAAGAGAGAGGGGAGGGAGGGATGTATGAGAGAAAAAGAGAGAGGGTAGGGAGGGATGTTTGAGAGAAAGAGAGAGGGTAGGGAGGGATGTATGAGAGAAAGAGAGAGGGTAGGGAGGGATGTTTGAGAGAAAGAGAGAGAGGGTAGGGAGGGATGTTTGACAGAAAGAGAGAGAGGGTAGGGAGGGATGTTTGACAGAAAGAGAGAGAGGGTAGGGAGGGATGTATGAGAGATAGAGTGAAAAAGAGAGGGAAGGGAGGGAGAGAGTAACAACTCATTATGTGGTATCATGGTGATCACTTGTAACCTTTACAGAAGCTGTTATCAAAACATTCATGCCTCTGTGTTTCATGAGACTGTGATCTACAGACAAAATCAAATATTAAGGGTTCTCTGCAGGGATATCTAACGGTCAACTGACCAGACCTCAAAGAGCTTTAGTAGACGTCGAAGAACCTTGATAATAAATTCTGACAGTTTGCGAATGAGTAGAGGATAGTGTGCTTATGATCCATGTATACGAGGAGCACAGCGAGGCTCAAACACAACCAGTTCTAAACCCCGTTGTCAACTCCTTCTCCAGGGTGTGATTCGACTATGGAGTGTCTGTTCACTGTAAGGTTTCGTTTGTCCACCCTGAAAATGTCCTTGATGTTTAAGCACCACCTATTTGCATCAAAAGGTCAAGGTTAACGTCAATTAACACCACCCTGTCCCCTTTATTTTAGGAGTCGACTGAAATGCACCAGGTGGTCAGACAACATACCTTGGCAAAGTGTATAGACAGCATAGATCGTCCATCAGGCTTTTAAAAATCGTCTGGCTTTTGTGTTTCATGCTGAAATATGACTGAAATATTGCAAACAGCGACGTTAATCAACAATCTATGTTGTGTAGATGTTCCAAAACAAAAGCGAAACCTGACTAACATGTGCAGTTCTTTCGATGTTAAAATAGTGAATGGAAAACAAGTATGTCCGCGACCAGCCATCATAGCATGATTCAGATTGTTTGATTAAACTCATACTTGCAATTTATAGGCACCGTATCCGACGTAATAAACGCCCAGAGGGCTCTCAAAATTAGAAAAAAGGGGCTCTTATTAGATTATAGTTTTGGTAAGAAGAAAACCAAAGTTGAAAGAGTTAATATTGTGGTTTATGCTGACAGCCTAAAATGATACAAAAGAAAAGTCAGTGCGTATTATACACGACAGATATATTTTCCAGAATTTAAATGCCCATAATTAATGGTGCATATAACACACGAGTGCGTATTATGCACGAATAAATTTGACACTGATCAATCGGAAGGGGTGTTAATTGGGATTGTTCACTAGCCAATATATTAGCAAATTTCGCCGTGGGGGCCTATTATTACAGGCGCTTAATACGATATTTATAATAGCCATTCCTCCTCCCTTAAGACCAGCGAAACCCGTTCTTCTGTGGCATATTTAGATCTATGCATGTAGGTTCAGGGTGCCAAAAACTCTCCACAAGTCTGGCAAGAGAGATCAACCGGATAACAAGCTCGAGCCCCTCGTGTCTACATTTCACAACTTTTAGGATACAGTCGAATCGAACATGCTCTTCCCACGAAGATTTCAAACAACGTCACACAACTCTTGCTCAAAAGTTGTTTAATCATGGTAACAACATTCAAGGCCTTGGTAAAGACTCTAAAATGTGGGGGACATTTCGAAATTTGGAGCATCGGTTCAGGGGAACAACTTACGTTTGAAAGAGGTCAATGAACACATGCTTATGATATTTTCGGAATCCTGGTGATGTGAAAAGTTTTTTTGATGTCTTTTATTTGGAGACACTTGATGTAAAGACTTCCGCCTTTTCCCCCTTATATGTATATGAATATGAATGAAAGAATTGAGCGGCAATGCTGTGTTATTTGTTTGCTGTTTAACGCCACGGTCTGTAGAAAATCGTGTCTGGACCAAACACTCTAGTGATTGATATCATGAGCATCGATCCACGCAATTGGGATCGATGACCTGCATCAACCAAGTCAGCGAGCCTGACCGACCGATACCGTTAGTCGCCTCTTACGACAAGCATAGTCACCTTTTACGGCAAGCATGGGTTGCTGAAGAAACCGGATTCTACATTCTACACCGGAACTTCACGGGTCGAGCGGCAATGCATTGGACATTTATAACTTTAGGAGGGGGAAGTCGTTTCGCCAATCTTATCCTTTTGCACCATCTTTGAACACCTAG